GGAGATGGAGGCGCAGGTAGCCCAGGGCTGCCTGCTTCCCCATCTCCGTGCGCTGTGGAGCCCCCATACTAAGGCACCCTGCACCCCCACTAGGTGCTCCCCATCTGGCTGGGGTGCAGTGTGCCTTGAAACAGGGGAGCAGGCAGCCTTGGGCTGGCTGCTCCCCTGCGTCCTCGTGCCTCAGTGTGGGGGCTCCATTGTGGAGCCCCAGTGCTGAGGCACACTGCACCCCAGCCAGCCATGGAGCAGCTGGTTGGGACACAGTGTGCCCCAAGACTGGGGAGCAGTCAGCTCAAGGCTGCCTCCTTTTGTGTCTCCAGGTGCTTCAGTGTGAGGGCTCCGCTGCTCCATGTGCTGCAGAGGGAGTGGTGGTGATGGTGGTGGGGGCTTCCTGGGGCACAGGGTGCTTCAGCATGGGGTTAGCTGGCAGGCAGCCCCTGTGCTGGGGCACACTGTGCCCTGGCGAGCTAGGGAGCAGCACATGGAGACAGGGGAGCAGGCAGAGGCAGCCCAGTTCATTAGGACTATATCAAACTCAATAATGGGCAAAGATTTGGGAGTTTAAAATGCAAAATCAAGTCCATATTTTAAAGTTGTCATCTATTGCTGTAAGGATCACTACCAATGCCTAGCATCCATGTGCTTGTTTCATATGCTGGCCTCTACTTTTGTAATGTGCTGGTTGAAAATCCAGGAGTACTTGAAGGCTTCCACAGAAATAACGGAAAGTAGAAAATCATAATAAGTGAGGCTGAAAGGGATCTTGAAACGTCTCCTAGTCTATCCTTGTACCCCAAGGTAAATTGTTCCTGATAGCTGTCTAACCCAGAATTTGCCTTGGGGAAGGCAGGGGGTGGAGGGGAGGAGGGGGAGATGACAGATTGCTGGGTGATTATACAAATCATATCTGCTGATTGCTGCCTGGCGCCCCTTCTTTTTCAGCTGCTACTAGCACTTTCCCTAACAATGACTACTGCTGACAAGCAGCATCAGCAGCAGTTGGTGGTGGGTGGTCAGTTCCCCTTACTGCCTGCTCTGATAGGAGATGTTGCTACCACTGAAGCAGAGTTGACATAAGTGCCCAGCCCTGCTACTGTGATGCATAAACCAACAAACTTGGGGAAATGTTGGTCTAATCAGTTCTTGAAAACCTTCGAACATGGAGTTTCCACCACCTCTCTAAATAACCCTTAGCTATCCTTACTATTAGATTGTTTTTCCTAATGTCTAAACTAAATCTCCCTTGCTGCAATTTAACCCTGCTCTTTAGTTCATGTCCTATTCCCAGTCAACAATCCCCAGAAGAACAGTTTCTCTTCATTTCATATAACCTTTCTCTTTGTAGTAACCTTTTACATATTTGAAGACTTATTTCTCTCCTTTGTTTTCTCCTTTCTAGATTAAACAAACCTAATTTTTTTCTGTCTTCCTTCATATGTTATGATTTCTAGAGCTCTGATAATTTTTGTTGTTGTCTTCTGCCTTTTTCTAGTTAGTCAACACCTTTCTTGAAGTGTGGTGCCAAAACTGGACACATTATTCCAGATGTAGCCTAACCAATGTTGAGTAGACTGGAAGTATTGCCTCACATCTTACATGCAACACTTGTTTACATATGACACAGGGTTACTGTTCTCACAGCTGTATGACACTGCTGAATCATGGCCAGTCTGTGATCTACTATAAGCTCCAGCTCCTTTTCTGCAAAATTGCCATCTGGTTCTTCCTTATCTGTGCATTTTGTAATTGTCTACTTGTAGTACTTTGCACTTTTACTGAATCTCATTCTTTGATCAGACTGGAAGATATATCTAAGCTATACATTTTGCCATGCACGGCCATCTTCAGTGGGGTACACTAAAAGATTTGTTACCCATACAAATCCAGTGCAGCACAGACAAACCAAATTACCAAGTCTGTATTTGGGTTGGTTTTGAAGGTTTTTTTAAACAGCTGCGAGGGTTATATTTTGGGCTGCTTTTAGAAAGTTCAGGGAGTGGCTAAGTGGTATTATACTTGGGATATTTGGGTGAAGCAAATGGGTGAGGCCATTACAGTCAAGACAAGTGTCTGCAGTATGCTGCTGGTTACTTAAGAATAATGGGTATCCATTTAATGTTGATTATCTTGGGGGCATACTGTAAGTCTCTCTTGAAACCGGCCAATATTGAATGATTTTGAAATCACCTAATTTAATTTTACATGTGAAAAAAGGAAGCTGTATAATTCAACTTTGTGAAAAAAGAACACATTAATGCAGATAGTAGGCCAGCACATAATGTTATGTATAGGTCTGTGTTAATTTAGCAGCTTCCTACTCAATAACTGTTCTTTTACCATGTTTGTCCCTCACAGTAGACAGAGAAAGTTTATCAGTGGGCACATCTACATGCGCAATTAATACGCCTGAATTTTCTGTGCAGAAAATTCAGATACATTAAACTGGGCTCCTGCATGCATCTGAATGTGTGCCCTTGCTCCTGATAGGAGTAGCTCAGTTTAGGTCTGCTCCTGCTCTGTTCTGCCTCCCTGTAGCAGTCAGGGGGAGCTGGCTGGCAATGTTGCCCACTCCCCTGAACCAGGAGAGATCTCCCCTCCCTCTATAGCCCCCCTGCTGCCTAGGCTGAGTCAGTGTCTATATGTGTGCTTCAACACATTGAACTAATGTACTGATTTTTAGTACCTGTATCTATAGGTACTAGAAAATGGCGCATTAGGCTAATCTACTCTGCTGTAATTGCTGCATACATATAAACCCTGATTGTTACTGTGCACTAGATTAGTCTAATGCATAGTAAAGTGTCTCATGTAGGAGCACCCAGTATGAACTGGAATTGTGATCTCATACCTACTCAAGTCAATGGAAAGCCTCCCACAACTTAATTCTTTTTCACTGCTAAGACACCTCTGACTGGGTATGTCTACACAGGGCACATTAGGCTAATTTAATGCACTGTAAAGTGTCACCATCTACACATGCACAGAAATTACTGTGCAGTAGATTAGTCTAATGTGCTGTTTTCTAGTACCCGTAGATACATGTACAAGAAAACGGTGCATTAAACTAATGTGCCAAAGTGAACATGTAGGTGTTGACTGAGACCAAATTGCTCCTGGTCAGCATAGGCAGTAGGGGGCCACAGAGGGCAGGGAGAGCTGTCCTGGTTCAGCAAGACACGATCTTCCACACCCATCCCAATCTCCATGTGCCTGGGAGAGCTGTCCTGGCTGCTGGGCAGCTGCCTCTCAGCCACATGGATTTCAGGACTCGTGGAGCTGCACTGGCTCTGGAGGCAGCCCTGATTAATGTGGAGTGGAGGAAAAGGAATGTGGGGAGCTGTCCCAGCTCAGGGGCCAGCTGCCTGCCAGCCCCATGCAGATCAGGACCTGTCTTGATCTCTGTGTGGCTAGGAGGCAGCTGCCTAGCCACCAGAACAGTAATCCCAGCCCTGCAGAGATCAGGATGGGTCCTGATCTGTGCAAGGCTGGCAGGCAGCTGCCCACCAAGCTGGGACAGCTCCCCTTGCCACACCCCTCCACCTCCACCCTACACAGATCAGGGCTGCCCCCAGAGCCGGGACAGCTAGAGGCTGGCACCCAGGGGAGCCTGAAGCTTCTCCTGGATGCTGCAGGAGGGCAGAGCAGGGAAGGAGCAGCTCTGGACTGGACTTCTCCTGTTGGGCACAATTTGCTCCCAATGCAGGAGCCTGAATTTTCTGCAGAGAAAATACAGGTGCATTAATTGTTGAACCCACTTCATTTCTGTTAACAGGGCCAGGTACAAAGAAGCATTCTGTTCACCTGTGTGGACATGCTTTCAATGCTCCACACTTTCAATGGGGAATCAGTGAGACACTGGAAACAGTTTCCGTTGCCTCTTCCAGAATCACACATTCATTTCACTAGGCAGTACTGTCCTCTGGAGATGAACAGTAGCTCTCTTACATCTATTATTGAAGTGTAATCCATTAAAAATGGCATTATTCCAGACTAGTGTCAGTGCTGCATTTGGCATTAACTAGTTACTGGGTGAAGTGGACAAATAGGAACTAGAGCCCAAGACCTCTCTCAGTCAATATAGTGGCCCTCATCTTGGCTATAGAGGCAGATTCTCCTTTTCCTGGTTCATAAATCCATCCCTTTAGCTGCTCAATGACACAGCTGTAACAACAAGGTGCCCCTAGTTCTGCATAGTGTGGTAGTTGTGACACTGTCCTATGGTGTGAGAGGTGAGCCCTTGCTCACATCCCTTTGAGGAGAGTGGGCCTAGATCATGCATCTTCTTGGGTAGAGGTTTTAATACATTGCAACACAAATCTGCCACTTGCAACAGTGTCAAGCCACTACTAGTCCTGGTTGTGGGTCAACTGCAGTTTCAGAGGTCTTGCACAGCTTTTATTTGACTCCAGGGGGAAATTAAATTGCAACAAAACATAAAGGGAGCTGAATGACTTGGTGGTCATATTGAATTGTTTCCCAGGATGCACAGCTGGGCAAACAGTCACTTTGGGTACAAGGCAGACAGGTAAAAATATAGACTTTTTAGTGAAATTCTGATGATTATGCAGGATGAAGTAGAATGTCATTTCATGTCTTCTAAAACAATGAAAGTGCCATTTAGATTCCTTAACAGCAAAGTAGAATTTTGCCCCTGTTGTCTGTAAAAGGTGTTGGACCAGGGACAAACTGCCCCCAACGTAAGTGAGAAGAATAAAAAAAGAGCATCCAGTGTTTGTCAGCAATAGAAGGAACTATAGGCTAAAGTAGAATAATTGCAGTGAAAAAAAACGATCATGTTCAAGGCATTTTGCACTTTTGGGCACTATCAATAAATGTAGGATAAAGTCACCTGGCAAACAAATGAGAAAAACAATTAATCTTTGATATTAAATAATCCATGAGTAATTTGAATAGTGCTCACAGAAAGATGCATACCTATTCTTTAGCAAAATGCCAGCTGCAGTTCTGGTAGTATAATACTTCTTCATTTAATTTAATAGAAAACACAGGAGACGGTACAAGCACATGGATTATAATAGTTGCAGTCGTAGTTTCAGTTGTCTGTTTTCTTCTTCTGATCATTATTATTGTGATTATTGTATACTGCTGCCACCGCCAAAAAAAGAAAGGTAAGTGGATTTTGCTAATATATTTTTAAGTCTTAAATTAGCTATAATCTGTTATCATGTCAGTTAAGGCATTCTGCAAAGTTTGGTAAGGAATGTTCAGACAGACAGGGAATTTTGGGAACTGGTAGCTTGTAGACAATACATTTCACTCTTCTGTTACCCCATAAGAAGTCAACCCTTTCTTGGTGGACTCATTAGTATTTCTACCATAGTAAGAATGTAGCGTGTTAATGTCAACAGTGCCTTATTAGAACACAAATCTCATGGATTGTCAATGCACACCTTCATCTAGATTTGTGCAGCTATGTGATATATAGCTATAATTAATGTATTGAATGAATACTTTCATGGTGTTCATTTTCCATGCAAACAATTGTGCAGGAATGATATGATTACAAGTGGAAGGGGACAGAACTTGGTTCTAATACAGAAATTCGAACCTCTGTAGTAGGCCATGTTTAATTGTCCCATATTTTAAATTCATTTTTTCATTTCTTTCAGAATCCACCTATCAAAAGGAGATGAGGTAAGTTGAATATCACAGGAAATATTGTCCCTTGGTTATGACCCTCTTACGCTGTCTTCAGCCCTGTCAAAAAGCCACTGAAGCCCCTAATCTGACCTGATTTGAGCTGAATATTCCCCTGATTCACGCTTTGTGTCAGGTAATTTACATTGCCCCATAATCCCCTCTACTGCAACCCTAGGCTTAAGGAGTGTGTCAGAAGACAAGGGTAAGGGCTGCAGCCCTGAGAAGTGTGGACGTTAATGGCTTGAAGTTGTTGCAACCAGGTTTAGGCTAAATATCAGGAAAAAATTCTTCACTGTTAGAATAGTGAGGCAGTGGAATACACTGCTTAGGGAAGTTGTGGTGTTTAAGAAGAGGTTGGACAGCCACTGGTCCATGTTGCTTATTATGGGTATTTCCCATGTTTCTGGACTTTGCCATTACACATTTTAGGGTGTTTTAAAGCCTTCCTCAGAAGCATTGGGTGTTGGATCAGCAAAAGGCTAATTTCTTTGTTCAGGTTTTGAAGAAGTAGTGGGCAGGGCCATGTGAAACCTTCCACAAGGTTCTGCACAAGAATCTACAAGCAACGTGAAGTTTTAGCAGGTGAAAGGTAAAGTGCTAGAAGGGATCATAAACTGGCAAGCAGAACAGCAAACAAAGGGGGTGGGACTGCAGACAAGTTACAGCTGGATTGGGAGGTTTTTTGTTTGTTCCCATTGTTGAGGAAGCTTCTGCATTTATTTTTATATTTGAGGTAAAACATACCATTAAAGTAAAACATACATAGATGGGCATGGTCAACAGCTAAGCAAATCTAAAATCAACAAATGTCAAGTTCAGATGAGTATACTGAATACTTGGTTTTAATACCACACCACCACACTGTTAGGTGTGCAAACCCAGTTCACAAGATAACTCCAGAAGATGTCTTTACATGTGGTCTGGGTGGAGAGGAGGGCATTTTCATTAGAGTGGATCCAAGAGCTGCTCTAATTAAAACAACCTCAGTGTCACATGTATTCAGGGTCCTGCACTTCAAAATGGCAGCAGGGGTGCTTTAACTAAAGTTTGTGGGTAGGCCTGGGGGTGGGCCAAAAGCCTCACATCTGCTCCTATACTTCTGTGCCATGGCTTAGTGCTCCCCACACCACATGCTGCCAGGCCACATGGAAAAAAAACTGTGGCAAAAAAACTGCTCCACTTTTGGGGCCCAATCTCAAGGGGGTCATGTGCCTCCCTGTGGCCTGCCCCCCCCAGTCACCTGTGCTGGCTAGAGAGTCTTGCTGTTGTGATCAGGGTCAGACCAATCACCATATTTGGGGTCAAGAAGGAATTTTACCCCATGGTCAAATTGGTATGGACTGTGGGGAGGGGGAGGGGGGGTTGCCTTCATCTGTAGCAGGGTTGTGGCCTTCTACCTGGGATCTCCTATGTGTATATTAGTAACCTTTTACAGAAGCAGGACACAGGACATTGGCTGCTTTGGTCCCCTTGCTTTACCTGTGGCAGGTTAGGATGTTATGTTTTGTGCTGTGTCAGGGTTGATGATAGTTTTATGGGGAGGTTAGATTATGGATTTGTATAGGATGGTTTGGCTAGGAATGATAAGCCTTGGCTGAGCTGATATAGCTAGAGATAGTCCTGCTTTGAGCAGGTGGTTGGACTAGATGGCCTCCTGAGGTTCCTTCCAACCCTAATTGTCTATGATTCTGTAATTTTGTGATCCTGCTTCAGGCAGGGGATTCGACTATATGACCTTTGGAGGTTCCTTCCAGCCCTATTTCTCTATGGTTTCTGCATACTACTGCCACAAGTAGGTACCCAGGCACAGTGTTTGAAACTGTTTTGTATCTGAATGATCTTAGGGGCCTTACTATCCACCACAATAACTCAGAATCATAATGGCGGAAATGTGGCGTAAAGCCATCATTGCTCCCCAGTCTCCCTGTGCTGTGAGTTTTGTGCTGAGCCTCTTGCCAGTACAGCTCAACATCTTACTCTACTTTTAGTTTTTCTTTTCTCTAAATTATCATGCAACCTGGTCTGGATATTGTAAACCAGTACCCTAAAAAATGTCAGAAAATTGCCCATTAGACTCTTTCAGGTGAATCACCACCACGCCATTTCTGACTATAATAAAAACATAAAAACCTTGTTTAAAAAGTTCAAAATGCTTTAGTTAGCACATCTTGGTTTTAGTGAAGTATTTAACGATTTGCTTTTAAGCATGAGTAGTTCCCTCTACACACGTGCTTAAAAATTAGATATATGTCTTCAGGTGCTTTGCTGAAACCAGGCTTCAGTTTGTGACTTAGCAGCAGTTTCCAATTTGCAACAGGTTTTCTCTCAGGCTCAGTTCTTCACATTTGCAACTAATTCCATAGGAGGGCACTGTTCACTGCAGCAGCTATCTCTGAGTTTCCAAAAGATGAAGTTAGCTGTGTTAGTCTGAAGTCAAGCAGAAGGCAGGATAGATTTGTAACTTATATATATATATAGATATATAGATATCTATATATCTATATATATATAGATATATATATATCACAAACTTGTGGGAACAGCATCTGAAAAAGCTTTTGTCCCATGAAAGCTTGTGGTATAATATGTATATCTACTTTGGTTAGTCAATAAAGTGCAAATCTACCTTGCCTTCTACTTTTCAAAAAGACTACAGTAGGTGTACTACTTACAGAGAACTTAGGGTATCACTCTACTAGAATTTCTGGTGTACAAAGGCAGGCTGAAACTGAGACATATTGATTCATGTTAATTGAGACAGATTGGCAGACAAATTAGATCATGTCCCCTGTTTTTTAAGGATCATTAGAGTTGGACTGTAAAACAAAACAAAACAAAACAAAACAAAACAAACCAAAACAAACAAAAACAAAGACTGCCCAGTGATCACTGTCAACGTTTCCTACTTAGTTAAATGAGTATCAGATACACTTGAATACAAAGCAAATTAATTGTGTACACCACTGCATTAGTACAAAACACCTTAAAAATGCATGCTTCTGTTCATCAATATTAAGAGCCTGTTTGTCACTATTAATGGTACCATGGAAGTTTTATCACGTAACTTTGTGTTATTCATTTTTATTTTCAGGGATAAACCATGAATTGATATACAATTATTGCTTGTGGGATATTTAACTGTACTCTTCATACTGTCTTTTAATCACCCTCTAATAATCAGTTTCATATGTAGAACTTTGTCAAAAGTCTTTTGAAAGTCTAAATAGATGTTCTTGACCACTTCTCTTTTATTCAGTACTGATGCATTTAAAGTATTCTGAGAGATTAGTGGAGCATAAATTGCTATTGCAGAAATCATTTTGGAAAGATCATCAGATCAAGATCTTTTAATTTTTTGTTATTCTTTAAAAAAATATTATTTCAGTCAATATACCAGGAACAGATGTACAAACAGGCTGGACTAAATCAGCAAAACAGCTGAGGCCAAATCTAGGGACAACTTTATATTTGGATTGCTGCATCAGCAGAGCTTATTTGCATTTTAACCTAGTCCTGCCCAGAACCCACTGTGAACATTAATTTTGCCAGGGCAGAATCTATGCAAAGAGTCTACCCAACAGATAAAGTCAGAATTCCAGAGAATGTATTTGCTAAAACACAATGATAAAATCTTCCCCCCAGATCCCAGAGAGTTGCCTAGATGTTTCTGCCTACATTTGGCTACCAGAGTGCTTTTTCTACAGGTTTTACATGAGGCTAGTGTAGAATATTACCGGTTACACTCTGGTTGTCTTTTTCCCCTATATATTCTCTGAATCTGACCTCTGGTAAATTAAGTTGGATCTTAATGAAATGTTGAATGCTTTTAGACCTCATTTCAGCAATGTTGATTTTAGATTTGCTTAGATGTTGACCGTGCCCATCTATGTATGTTTTACTTTAATGGTATGTTTTACCTCAAATATAAAAATAAATGCAGAAGGTTCCTCAACAATGGGAACAAACAAAAAACCTCCCAATCCAGCTGTAACTTCTCTGCAGTCCCACCCATTTTGTTTGCTGTTCTGCTTGCCAGTTTATGATCCCTGCTAGCACTTTACCTTTCACCTGCTAAAACTTCACGTTGCTTGTAGATTCTTGTGCAGAACCTTGTGGAAGGTTTCACATGGCCCTGCCCACTACTTCCTCAAAACCTGAACAAAGAAATTAGCTTTTTGCTGATCCCAAGAGTGCTCTGGTTTGAGCAAGTTTGGAGTGGATAGGACAGAAATGTGGATACAAATGCAGGTTGCTGCTTTCCAAATACATGTGGGTTAAACTTTAAAAAGACAAGAACTCCTTACTTAATCTATCTTGATTTACCTAAGAGTAGAGAGGACAATGCATATTAGATGTCCTCACTGTAGCAGGCAGTTACCATGCCCCCCCAGCCTTGGGAGGCACATAACGTTTATGAGCAAAAGTGTATGCTATAGAGGGAGGACACTGAACTGGATATTTCTAGAGTGATCTATCCCCTATTCAATACTTTCCTTGGAATCCACCATTATTGACAGTCGGGACACAAGGAAACTCTCTATGCTGTCCACAACACAGATCTGTGAGTCAGCAACACAGTCTAACACAGAATTTGAGATTGCAATTCATTTTATACAAAAGCCATGAAGTGCGTCAGAGACTAGAGGTCTTGGGGGTAAAGTTTTGAATTTCCCAGTTGCTGATTAAGCAGAAACTCTAGTTGGGGTTTTTCCAGGACTCTACCTGCAATATAATGGTTTCAAGGATGAGAAATATTTTAATTACCTTTTTAAAAGTCAGGTATGGCTTGTTACCAGATTTGCCTATTCCTTTGGGGTGTGCTCATTTATTAGAGTTAAATTTCTGGGGTCTCTGCAATTCTATCAATGTACTGCTTGTGTCACTTGTGTTTCTATATGGATCTCTATTTCTCCTTTCTGCAAGTCCTCACCCCTGCTGGAGCTACCTTGCAGGGCTAAGTTTCAATGGGGCTAGGTTCCTCCAGCTACGGAATCAGTCGAACACATACACATACACACACACACAGATTAACAGAGCATGTCTTAGTGGGCAGGATTACTTAGCATTTCCAGGGCGATACCCTCATGTGCCACAGACTCAGCACAGGAACAAGGCACATCTGAGTCAGCTGGGTCAATCAGCATTTACAGGCTGACACCCTCATATGCCACAGCTCAGCACTTCCCAATCTCTTGTCCCAATTGTCCTGATAGTAACTCCCTTGATGAGCAGACCCCACACAATTTTTGGGTTTTACAGGGATCTTTGACTTAGGTAAAAGAAGTGTTGCTGCAGAGCAAATGGAGGGGCAGGGGTGGAGGAGAAGAAAGAGTAAATGAAGTTTGGAGAGAGAGTATGGAAAACAGCTTGACCATAAAATTTATTTTATTACCAGGTATATGAAACTTATGATGATAGTAGTAGTAATAGCCATACAAGGAAAAACAAACAAAACAGTTACAGTATTACACAACTTCAGTTGGGTATTTTGGGAAATCTAGCTCAAGTCTGATCAACAAAAGTCAGGTTGTTAAAGTAATGCCTGGAGTAAGAGAGAACAAGAGAGAGAGAGAGAGAGAGAGAGATTAAATCAGGTCTGAGGCTTAGAAAGTGGGCTTAAACAGAGAGAGTGAGAGTTGGGGTCTCACCACTCCGTGAAGATTGAACCGATCGAGGTTCCAGGTGTTTGTTGGAGCTTGCAGACAAGCTGTTCAGTTTCAGGTCTAGAGTGCTTGAGACAGGCAGAGCCCCTAGCATGATCAGCGGAGGTATTCCAGGCAGAAAAGGAGAAGGGGAAGTCCCAGTAGAACTGGTGCAATGTTTGGATCCAAGCACCAGAACAGAAACTTGAGCTTGGGTAGGGGTTTTTGTAGAGCGCTAACAATAGGGAAACAACAATGGATCAAGGGAGAACACTAGGTTTATTTATGGGTAAATGATAGCTCAAGGGAGTATACCAGAGTTGTTTTGTTATGCTGGACAATAGGAGCTGACCGTTCCTGGCTATGGGCGGCTGTTACTCTGAGGGAGCTCACAATGCAAACAGGCAGATTCAGTGTTTTGGGTACCAATAAAGGAGTCATTACTAGAATTTGTCTGATAAATGCTGAGCTGGGTGTGTGCACACGTGGATTGATTGGCATTTGGAGCAGAGTTCCCTCATCGTGCAGTGCTTCCCTGGTCCCAGAGTTCAGTGCAGTCCTTGCCTTGGAATTTCTGTTCTCCACTCTGAATGCTAATGGAAGTACTTCCTTGTCCCATCTTCAGTGTAAATGAGACTAGGGGAGTTGCCTTACTCCTATAACCCTTGTCCAGAGGGGTTTAGGAGTGTCTCACACTGCACCTTTATTGCCTTTTGTAAGTCCTTTCTCTGATCAGTTCCAGTACAGGTGTGGGGAGAGCGTGCGGGGGGGGGTGGGGGTGGTGGTGAGTCCTTTGTGAGTCAGACAGGCTGGGTACTATGCCAGGGTTCCCCAAGAACACAGAGGAGACAGGTAACAGGCTGCAGGTCACTTTGGGTAAGTTCATGCAAACAAGTTACTGAAGATAACAAGTAAGGTAGGGTGCAAACTTATAGCACTCCAGTTATTTTGTGATAAATGCCTATCTCCATACTCTTAGCCAACAGCAAGTGCAAGGAAATTTACCCCCCTTTCATCAAGGAGTAAGCTACCTCACTTTTACCTGTGGAAAGAGCAGACACACAAGCAGATACTTCAGAGTAGTCAATATGCTGTAAGGTCACGCCCTAGCTTAACTCTTGGTAATTTATTTGTATTCCTATCCCCTTTGTGTCTCTATTAGATACTATTTAGGACCACTCATGTGATGAAGGTTTTAATGACAGGAATTTTTATTTCTAGAAAAGTTTCAGCTAAGAAAAAAGATGAAGGCAGTCTGGAAACAAGGAGGAGGAATGGTAGTGAAAATAATGGATACATTCCCGAGGAGTCATGGCACCCAGAACAAATGCCAAGTGAGTCAAACATGTTGATGACAATGAAGCTAACACAATGGAATTGTTTCCCCATATTTCAAGAAATGTGCATTTGGACTCCATGCTACTTAGAGAAAGCCTTAGTGCTTTCCTTAATTTACAGGACGTTCTAAGGAAAATCTCAACTTTTGCGACCTCAGAAGTACTTTCTAGACCTGGACCTATTTCCAAAAATCAAACTAAACTTGAACTTTGTTTAAATTTTAAAAATGCCTTCCATGTGCCTTATAATTTCCAAATTCCTGCTAGGATAAGGGGTGGGTACTGGAATCTTATAAGAATGGCTGGTTTTGCAAAAGTTTGCTGTCTGACTGAGACATGAAATCAAGTCATGGGATTTCCAGCCCAGTATTATAGACATTCTGACAGTTCAGCAAAGTTCTGAGATATTGGATATTACTTTTTTTTTACTACAGTTAAACCTTTGAATGTTTTAAGGCTCACAATTCATCACCATTGCTTTGCTAATCATGCAACATCATTATGACCTCAGATGATGCTTCCAAATTCTTAATTAATTTATTGTAACAAATGTAAAAATCTAGAACCCTTGGTTCAGAGGTGATACCTTTTATTAGGCCAACTGAGAAATTACAAAATATATATATGTTTCTGTAAGCTTTTTTTCCCCAATTTCTTAGTTGTTCTAATAAAAGATATCTCTGAGCCAAGAGTTCTAGATTTTTGCATTTCTTTTTGTCTCAGACCAACATGGCTACCAAATACATTCTTGTAACAAATGTTGCATTGTTCATTTGTGCAATGTAATCTTCAAAAATATTCTCTCTGGGAATGATACCACAGGGTAATATTTACCTCATTGTTTTTCAGGCACTGATAGGTATCTGTTTGGCTTACTGTCTCACAGAATAGAATTGACTTATTTTAGGGACATGCATAATGTTAATGTTCAGTGTTTGGCTGACCACCATTGTAAGCTGTCTTCAGTTGTTCCTATGTAGTTAGAATGAATGTTAGAATACTGCTAGGGAAGGATATATTTAAAAAAAATTAAATTGGAAATTGATGGTGCTAATAATATTAGTGTTCACTAGTGATGTCCATTAAAGCGGAGGCTGAATAGTAACCACACAGTACTGGCTAGGGGCCTGCTGGATGACAGACTGCTATGTCTGTGAACAGAAGATATAGATTGAGGTAGAAAACATGGAGAGAGCTCAATTCTTGAAACAGCTCACTGCTTTCTGTAGAAACACACAGATGGATAATTGTCCTTTGCACTCTTTTTCTCCATGTTGCTGTGATTGTATATGTGAAAATGTATTAGTGAGTTATGATGTTAGTGATGAATGACTAACTTTATGTATGAGAGAGGCAAGCATTTTTGTGGGTGATATTTTTTATTGGAGCAGCTTGTATGCTTTTGAATACAGCACATTCTTCTTTTGCTCTTTACTATGTGTCCTATTCTACAGCAATAGAAAATCAGCCAAAGCTTTGCCTGCTGCTTGCATTTATCACCACATTATCATCCTGTATCAAATTTTGAAATCATGTAAAACTAGTGTAGTGAGCCTATAATTCAACTGTGCCCTTTTTCCTGACAAATTAACTGTAAAGTAATAGACTTGTGCAATTGCAGAGGTATCAAACAGCATTTTTTGGTATGTAACCCAAATTCTAGAAAGTAATAGGTACAGCTAGGCAAGCAGGCTTCAAGATGGGTTCCTTGCAAACTCATTGAATACAAGTTCTATTTATGGTAGTAAGTCTTGTTTATTTGTATATCAGAATAGTTCATGGAATGTTAGAGAGTAATTAAGAATGAACTTACATATTCTTCTGTTACAGAGGTTGCCTCTCTTCCCCCAATGGCCTCCAACTTCTATGGCCCAGAAGATTTAGAAGTCAGTTCTACATCACAGGTAATTGGAACTTAATCTGCTGAGATCTTGACATTTTTCACATAGTTCACTTGTACTATACTCAGATCACAGTTCTTAAAGAATATAGACATTTAAAAGTCAAGGAGGGCTCTATTCTGACATTTGGCATTATCTCTTTTAAGTCTCTGAGGGCACATCTACACATGCATTTGATCCAAGATCAGTTTACTTGCAAGTAAAGTACTTGAGAGTAAACATTCCCAGGCAGGCATCTCCCCCTCTGGTGCCACCGTGGGGAGCTCCAGGCTCTGGCTGCAGTTGCAGCTGCCAGCAGCAGGCAGCCCTCTTGAAAAGGCAGCCCTGCTTTCTGCTCCCTGGCCAGCCACTTCCCTGGCCAGGAGCAGCATGCACAGTGCAGGGGCAACATGTGGCAGCTGTCTTCTTGTTGCTTCTGCTGCTCCATGGCAAGGAGACCACCATGACACCTTCATGCATGTGAGTGCTGGTGGGGTGGGCAGTGCCCATGATGCCCATGTGTTTCAGAATGCCAACCTGCCAGGCCTAATGCAGAGCAGGTGCTTCGTGTCAGGGCCAGGAGCTGTGCCTGGAACTCCTAGTCTGTCTGGTCCTGCACCTCCATGCACTGGTTTTGTGTGTCCTTGTGTGCAATGTCCAGCAGCCACCAGGCCTGTGTGTCCTCCAGCTGGTCACTCAATGCTATCACAAGCTGGGCCTGGAAGACAGTATAGTCCTGGATCTGCCTCTGGTGGATCTGGTGCATCTGCAGGGCCCTGGCTGTGGGCAGCAGGGACACTGAACCCTCATCCTGGCCTCCAAGTGTGGCCTTTCCCCTGCATGTAGTTGCAAGACTTGCAGAGTCATGAGAAAGAAGCTGTTTGTGAGAGTTTGCAACATTTCTCAGATAAGATGCTCTGTACTGAAGGTGTGCGCAGCCTCTGGTCTCAGATGGGGGGCCGGGCACACAAAGGTGCCCAGGGACTATGGTACATCAGCCAGGCAGGGCCAGGCCCAGGCAGCTTCTGGCTGAACCTCCATCCCTGCTCACTTCCCTGAGGCAAGTGGGCTGCTTGGTGCTGGCTGCAGGCAGCCTGCCTCCCTGTCCCATTCTCAGGCTGGGACAGGCCAGGCTCCTGGCAGCACCTGCTGCTGCATCTTCAGACTTTGTCCTCCCACTCCCTCTGCACACACAGGATAGTCGCTTTTCTGTGCTGCCACCAAGCCCATGGTACCAGGGCTCGGGGCGGGGGAGGGGCATGGGGATCTGGGATGACTGGGATGAGGAGCTGTCTGCATCCCTGCCCTCCCTGCATGGGGCCTCTCTGGAAAGGTACCTTGGTGCCAGGCCCCGCCCTCCCCCCTGCACAGGTGCTGCACCCTGAATGTGTCCCTGCTGCGCATGCCATGGGTGGTGCATGAGGAGCTGTTTGCATGGACTGAGGCTGCACAGAGTGTAGCACCACTACACCCTGCTGCTTCTGATTGCCACGGTGTCCTGTGTACCTGGCATGGGACCCTGAGCTTTGATGGTATGGAGGGAAAGCCTGGGCTGCCCTGCAACATCTTCCACCACCTGGAGGGCTAACTGTGGCTGCACTACATGTCCCTGTCACTGACAGCCAAGGAAGACATCACCACTGGCATTGATGCATTCCTCAGTGTGTGAGAGGCCCATGCTCACCTAGCTGCAGGGGCATGGGCTGCTCAATAATGTTTTGCACTGTATCCCACCTCAGGGAAACCTGGGGCCAGTGTGGGGATGGGAAGCAGGGGCTGATGGGAGGGCCCTCCCCCTAGTGTGAGGATTACCACAAGGTTGGGGCTGGCATGGGTGGCATCTCCACTCAGACCTGTCTGGCAGTGACAGCGTGCAGCTCTGGGTGGTGTCCTTGGACACAGGATGCAGCATGTGGGTTCCTGCCTAGGGGCCCCACCTGGGGAAGAGTTGGCATTGCTGGTGGCTGTTGCAGACATGGCCGGCCACGCCTTATGGCTGGAGCTGAGGCTGTGGAGCTGTCATAGCAGGTGCTGGCCTGGGCTCCCTGAGTTGCTGGTGGTGGGTGCAGCCAGGGAGCTTGGTGGAACAGGCTGCTGGAGGCCTGAGGGGTCTTCCCCCAGTTCCACATCACTGCAGTGCCAGGCCAGGGTTGGGACTCGGGCAGGCTGCCTGTGTTGCTGTAGACAACATGGCTGTGTCCTGGGTCCCAGGGATATGAGTATCAATGTCAGTTGCCACATAAAGGGCATGAACTTGCACGCACTTCCCAGTTTATAATTGCGGCCATCACAGTGGCCCACTGTGCTCACAAGGCCTTGACCTTTATGCAGCAACTGACAGTGATACTGGTTGTGCCCAGACTCCTGCATCTGGCATGACAGCCCCTCATAGACATGTGTGTTTGAACACCTGCCTCACAGAAACTGACACTGAACCTCCACCTCACCTTACAACACCATGAGGTCACCAGTCTCCTCCCTGGGTGGTGGACATGGGCATGGGTAAAGACGATGCCAACTGGGGACCCTGCATTGGCTTTCTGGGCCTCCATGCAGATATGCTGCCAGGCCTGGGCAGCTGCCTGCTGTGCCCAGTGGAGGAGCATGGTATGGGACTGGTAGCTGTACAGCAAGGCAATTCTCCACAGCACCTGCAGGCTCTGGGCAGTCTACTGGCCCTAGAGCTGGCCCCAGTGGCCAGGAGCTGCCTGCAGCTGGGCCTGGGTTCTGACAGGCCTGGCAGGGACGTGCAGCACCCTGCAGGCCTGGACAGCAGGGGCCTGGAAGCTGCTCAGCACTGCAATGTCACATAGCAGTGCTGGGGCGCAGGCAGGATGGCACAACTGGCCTGCGGCCTGCCCAGGGGGACACAGGTGCCTGGATTGGCTTCAGGATCTCTGGATGTGTGCCTCAGGGCTCAAAGTGCCTGCAGGCTTTTATAGGCCTGAGGCTGGGGCTGCCATAGAACTGTCCCAGCCCTAGGGCAGGAGAGGCTTCCTGCTCCAAGGCCCTGGGACTAGCCTCAGGCCAGACCCCTAGTGGCAGGACTCCATGAGCAATTTTGCTCCTGTTTGGTATCTACACATAAGTTAGTGCACAGTAACTAATTGCAAGTAAAATTGCTACCTTATTTTGCAGGTAGAAAATTTACATGCAAGTAGTGTCATCTACTGCATAGTAAGCATGTACATGTGTAGACATGTGCAGTTACTGAGCAGTAAACTATGCTACTGTGCAGTAAAATGTCTCATGTAGACGTACCCTGTAAGTCTTCTGGTTTTCAGGACAATATACAGGGTGCTTGTGTTAGCATCTTGGATGCGAATTCATTTTTGAAAAAGCTAATATTTGGTCAATGAAAGTGAAAGGGTGAAATTACACTTTCTTCCTTGCCTGGGCAGAAATTGCATAAGCTCCAGGCTCCTTATCCTATTTTCCTTCACTCTCCTTCATACTCCCCTACCCTGAAAAGCATTCAGAAATTGACAGACAAGTTTCTTTGGGAAGATGTGATATCTTTTATTAGACCAACTAAATAGTTGGAAAAAATGTTCTTTTCAAGCTTTCAGGCACAAGCCCTGATGCCCTTATCCCTGAAGACGGGTGTCTGTGCCTAAAAGCTTGCAAAGAACATTTTTTCAACTATTTAGTTGCCCTAATAAGAGATATCACATCTACCCAAAGAACCTTGTCTACCTACATCCTTAGACCAGCCTGGCTACAACCAACAACTCTAAATTCAGAAATTGAGAGACCGATCCTTGGTTCTGGTGGATCAATAGGGACATAAGTCTGCTCTAATAAGGCAGTAGATTATTCCATCAGCATGGCATGTACCTTTGCAGGTAAGGAGCTGATACAACTGTAGGCCCTTTGCTTCTCATCTTTTCTAGAATTAAGGAAAGACTAGTTCAGTAGTTGCTGCATGAACATTTCTGTTGTAACTTTTGAACTAACTCTTGGGTTCAGCTTTTCAAGAATTCACTTCTATTATAGTCTATAATAAATCATAGAATGTATTATATACAATGTGAGGGTTTTCTCTGCTGTCAGTTTCCCCACATTGGTTATACAGCATTCTGTGCACTATTTGGGAGGTCCTTCCTGCTCATAAGATGTTGTAGTTTGGTTGCACTCTGTGTGTATTGGGGTGGATCGAACCCACTTTAAACTTGGTGGGAACATATCTATCAATGGTAAGATGCTCTGGATCTGGCTCTTAATTTGTAAAGTGTTTGGAGATGAAGCAAGACATGTAAATGTCAAATATTATAGGTCATGTGATTGGAACCTGCAGAAATATGGTGGCTGATTATTGCCTCTTCTCCTAGAAAAATGTCTTGCTGAACTGGAGTGTTAGTATGATAGAGGGAAGAGACATTATCAACAGCTTTCAGTCACATAGAAAGGAAGCAGGAGAATATTTTATAGCAGAAAAGCAAGGCAGACATCTGCATCTTGACTATGTTTAGCTGAGATTTCCTCTGTGCCTTCAGAGGTCCAGCATCAATAAACACTGGAACTTAATTACTTTCACAGTTTTGATCTCAGACTATAAAAATTTTCTTTTGATTTTAAGCTGAAAACAATAGGTATCAAAAGACATCATCAGAATGACATTGAATGAATGCAGGAAGAACAAAACTGCCTGAGAAACAATGTCAATCAGTTCCTTAATGACCTATCCTCTAAAGCACTGGATTATATACTATATTGCAGTTCCACAGCTAGTGTAGGGAGTTAAAAAGGTAGCTTCCACACAAGGTGTTTCCATAGGATCATAGAGCAGAAGGGCTGGAAGAGACCTCACAAGGTCATCTAGTATAGCCCCCTGCTCAAGGCAAGATCACCCCTGACTAAACCATCCCAGCCGTGTGTCTCCAACCTGCTCTTGAAAATTTCCAGGGATGGAGATTCCAGAATTTCTTTAGGTGGCTTGTTCCAATACTTGACCACTCGTACTCAGAAAGCTCCCCCTAATTTCTAACCTACATTTTCTATGCTATATCTTGAGTCCATTGCTC